TCCAACTCATGTGAACAGCACAGGATACAACAACAGGACCAACAGCCCTCCCCTTGAACTGATTAAATGACAATCCCCTTAAGGTTGGCCAATGGCATATGACTTCAAAGAAGCTACAATTTCTAGAACAGCTGGGTAAGGAAAAGCAAAATGCTGGACATAACAATGAATCAACCAGCCCGTGGAATCTCCTGTATTTATTATTGAAAGGAAATCTGTAAAATGGAGAATGTTGACAGAGATGAGAGACACAAATAAAGTAAATCAGGTGATGGGCTCTGCACAGCCTGGAATGTCTTTGCAGCCTCTGTTACCTACACAGTGGCCCATCACAGATTCTGACTTAAATGATTATTTCCTCTGTATATCTTTACAAGAAAAAGATAGTGAAAATTTAGAGTTCATGGTGCTTTCACATATCAACATTTCTTTGAAGAAAACCTGCCTGTGTGTTCATATTAGCCATAATGATGCATGCCCCCTAAAATTCCCCTCGACCTAACAAAAATCTCCTCCATTAAGCATTGCTCTAGCAAGCTATTGCCAATCTCTCTGGTAAGACTAAATGGTGAGAAAGACTCTGTCATAGCTATTGTGAATGGAGCCAAAGGGCCATAACTGTAGACAGCCTCTTTCAATTGTTTACGCTCCTTAAATTTAAGGGCTACATGCTGCAGCATGACCTGTTGTGGATTATTAGGGTCAGGGACTTATAACAGGGAAACCCAATGACTTTCCAAAAACTACCCCTTTGGGAGATGAAGCATTAGAATCAGGAACACAAGTAGTATAATTCTCATAAGCTGGGGGGGCACAGATGCAGGCAGGGGGCAAGGTTTATTTTTGATGCTCTTAAGTTTTTCCTTCATTCCCATCTCCCTTAACTGCATTTGTAAATCTTTAATTTCCTCTTCCAATTCCTTTTCTTCCTCAAAATGATCCTCATCCTCATCCTCCTTATCAGTGGACTCAGATCCCTTAGCAAGAGATTGACGAGAAAAGTCACTTTGTGCGGTTGCAGAGGTTTCCCCTATCTCTGCTATTTGTTCCTTAACCTCAATGTTCTTACTCAAGAGGACATCCTTGACTAATCTCCATAAGGAAATGACTGACATAGGCACTCCATCTGGCCCTTCCTTCTGAGGAGTATTTTATAAATCACTCTTTACTTGTTCCTAGTCGGGAATGTATAATCCCCCACTAGTCAAAAACCAGGGTCTAATGCTAAGACCACGAAAACTTCGAACTGTCTTTATTTTAATGCCTGTTCATTGCTGTTTCAATGAATGAGTGAGTTGGTCCTGTAAAAGTAATGAAGAACTTGAAATCCTCATTCTAACAGTCACTTACCTATGGTAGCACTACTTACTTTTGAGTTGGACTGTCAACCCCAGTGCCCTCTTCCTTGTCTTGTGGCCACAATCTTCAGGACTGGTCCCTCAGGATAGCTCTGATTTCCGGGTTCTAGGTGGGACCTCCAATTGTCTCTGGTGCTAGCACCAGCAACTGAAGAACCAGACCAGGTGAGAGTCTGTGGATTAAGAAGGACACAACTTGGGTCATTGGGTAGAAGCGAATGCCATCGGTTTATTGCAGCCAGCAGCTTATATACAAGAGGAGATGGGAAAATATCACCTGCTAGCAGAAAGCACCCCGATACCCTATCATAAACAAGGAAATCACAACCCCCGCCCATAGCCAACAAAGCAAGAAGGGGATGGGGCAAGGCATAATGTTTCAATAACAAGAAAGGTTCATAACAGGATGTTAGTGGGCTGGGCTTAGAAAAACAGGAGGTACCTGTGGTTGCAGAACAACTCACAAAGAACCCATGAGGGCTGGGTCCCAACATAGGGGAATGGGGAATAAAAGCAAAAGAAATAGAAGCTCCTACTTTGGCTAAAGAACCCTTCCCAGTAAGAAGACAGGACAGGTTGCTATAACAAGAAATGAATGAGTGAGGGGAATTCCCTGAAAATGCATTTGAATGGTGGGGTTTGATGAGGTAGGTGAGGCTGTTCCCCTACCCAGACAACAGGGAGACAAGAAGGAGAACTGAGTACCCAAAATTCCCTCAGGACTGAGTATGTGGTACCTGTGTCCAAGAGGAAGGAGATGGATCACTCTGATACCTTGTTGTCCACCTGGGCTCCCTGTCAGAAATGAATGCGTTTGGGTCAAGAGATCCCACGCCCCTTCACTCAGAGTTATCTATGGCCAGGGCTAGGCAATCTGAATTCTTTTTAAAAAATATTTATGGCCAGGACTAGGAAGTTGGCTAGAGGACTCTGACGCAGGTAGGATGGCCTCGGCCTCCTTTATTATGTGACTTTAATGGCTGTCTCATCTCTCTCATGGTATACCTTAAAAGCCACCTTAATTCTCCTGCCTGTGATGCTAGAGGTCCTTTCTACAGAAGCCTAAGCGAAACCCTAATATCAGGGGAGTTCAGGGAAAAAATGTCATAAGGAGTTGTCTTCGCTCTGGCTTCTCAGTGTCTAGGTTAGTATACTGTAAGAAGGCCTTTGTAAGGCATTCTAGGAAATGAGAGGGATTTTCATGTTTGTCCAAAAGTATCTACAGAAGTTTATCAGAGTTTACTTTGTGAGGGCAGCCTTAGGAAGAGCATCTGGCAGGCTGGTTGTAAACTGATCTCTAGCTAGAATGGCCCCTGGGGTATTATAATCATAAGAGCATCTGGCAGGCGGGTTGTAAACTGATCTCTATCTAGAATGGCCCCTGGGGTATTATAATCCAGTAGGGATCCTGAACCTGGACAGCCTCTGCCCCTGCAGGATGAGCTGCATATGTCTGCATGGTCTCTAGCCTGCTCCCAAACTCAACTGTGTTCCTCAGGTAGTAGGTTTTTGTCAAAAAAAAGTATATATCATGAAAGTTGAGTCTATAAGATTGGGTGGTATAGTGCATCTCTTTTATACAAGAAGTAGATTTAGAAGTATAGGAATCCAGGTTCTTTTCTATTTGAGAAAATTCTGATAGTGGAAATGGGACAATTACTTTAACCAGACTATCACATCAACTACTTCTCAAAAGGGAGAACTGCAGCCAGGTTGCTTTGGTAGGCTGAGGCACATATTGGCATGAGAGTGGTTAATGGGTGTGAGGGAGTTGGAAGTACCTGCAAGAGTTGGGTGGCTCTAATGGGCCACTTCTGGAGATGGAGACAGTGGGA